CAGCCAGTTACAAATGTCACACCCGAAACTGGATATAACTCCTAAAGTGCACCAGTTGTGCCCATTCCTGGGCTAAGAGCAGGGGTGGATCCAGTATGGTATAAATAATACATGTTTCAGGTGACTCAGTCCCTTCTTGGAGGGAATAATACCTAAAGGGCCATTGGACATCTTCTGAACAATGTCACTCAAATTAGCTCTATGTTGGACTCCAACTTTAAAGCAGGATCTGTGAGGTGTGGGAGCTTACAAGATGACCTGGGAAGAGTTTAAACCCAGGGATTCTGAAGTAGTGGACAAGGCCCTGTCAGCTGCTAGTTTGGTGACTTATTTATTAGATCCATTCCCCTCCTAGCTTATTAAAACTGTGTGGAAAGGGATGCAGAATTGGGTTTGTGTCTGGATGGGGTGAAACCAGATCTGACTCAATCCTAGTAAGATGGAATGGCTGTGGGTACTTGGATCTTCTGGAAACAAGGTTCTTCCATCTCTAGTTTCTGGATGAGGTGGCATACCCAGACAGTCCCATTGCTTCTCCTAGACTCACAGCTCCAACTTGAGGAGCAGGTGGCAACTGTGGCTGGGAAACCTTTTATACACCTTTAGGAAGTGGACCAGTTGTGCCCCTTCCTGGGCTAAGAGCAGGAGTGGGTTCTACTTATCTTTACTGCCAGTTCGCAATGGGAGCCCGCTTGGGTGCGTGCTTCTGTGCAGAAGCTTCTGCGCATGCACAGACCACCCATGATGACATTGTGATGGGTCGGCAGAGCCTCCCACCAGTTTTACTAACGGTTCTAAAGAACCGTACCGTACCAGAAGCAACTCATCACTAGCTAAGAGGCCTTGCTCACCATCACCCATGCCCTTGTAAGCTTCTGGTTAGATTACTGTAATGTGTTCTACATGGGCCGAGCTGAGGATTTTGTACAGTATCTGGATGATAAAATAACTCAGATTCGGGAAAACTTGGCCACTGACTGGGTTAGTTCAGACAAGATGACTGAGGCAGGCCTTGAGAATGTTATCTGGGAGGAGTTCGATCCTGTGGCTCCCGAGGACGTGGACAGGATCTTGGGATGGCTGAACGCCACCACATGTTTATTGGACCCGTGTCCCTCCTGGTTGGTGCTGGCTTCCCGGGAGGTTACACGAGGCTGGCTCCAGGGAATTATCAATGCTTCTTTGAGTGAGGGTGTCCTGCCGGCCGCCTTGAAAGAGGCGGTGGTGAGGCCTCTCCTCAAGAAGCCATCCCTGGATCCGGCTGTTTTGGCTAACTATCGTCCAGTCTCCAACCTTCGCTTTATTGTGAAGGTTGTTGAGAGTGTGGTGGCGCGACAGCTTCCACAGTACCTGGATGAAGCTGTCTATTTGGATCCGCTCCAGTCCGGTTTCAGACCTGGGTACATCACGGAAACGGCATTGGTCGCATTGGTGGATGATCTCTGGAGGGCTCGGGATAGGGGTTACTCCTCTATCCTGGTCCTGTTAGACCTCTCAGCGGCTTTTGATACCATCGACCATGGTATCATGTTGCGCCGGCTGGAGGGACTGGGAGTGGGGGGCACCGTTTTGCGGTGGTTCTCCTCCTATCTCTCTGACCGGTCGCAATCCGTGTTGACAGGGGGGCAGCGGTCGACCCTGAGGCGCCTTGTTTGTGGGGTGCCACAAGGGTCAGTCCTCTCGCCCCTCCTGTTCAACATTTATGTGAAGCCGCTGGGTGAGATCATCCGTGGTTTTGGGGTGGAGTTCCATCAGTACGCTGATGATACTCAGCTGTACATCTCCACCCCAGACCATCCCAACGATGCCTTGGAAGTGATGTCCCAGTGCCTGGAGGCCGTGCGGGTCTGGATGGGGAGAAACAGGCTTCGACTCAACCCTTCCAAGACCGAGTGGCTGTGGCTGCCGGCGTCCCAGTATAGCCAGCTGACGCCATCGCTGGTTATTGGGGGTGAATCATTGGCCCCCACGGAAAGGGCCCACAACTTGGGCGTCCTCCTGGATGCACGGCTGTCCTTAGAAGGGCATATGACGGCCGTGGCCAGGGGGGCTTTTTATCAGGTTCACCTGATACACCAGTTGCGCCCCTTTCTGGATCAGGACTCCCTACGCACAGTCACTCAAGCACTCGTCACTTCTCATCTGGACTATTGTAACACTCTCTACATGGGGCTCCCTTGGGGTACACCCGGAGGCTCCAACTGGTGCAGAATGCGGCCGCGCGGGGGATTATGGGAGCGACTGGGCGCTCCCATGTGACTCCTCTCCTGCGCGAGCTGCATTGGCTTCCGGTGGACTTCCGGGTGCGCTTCAAGGTGTTGGTGATCATCTTTAAAGCGCTCCATGGCTTAGGGCCAGGGTACTTACAGGACCGCCTTCTGCCACCAATAGCCTCCCACCGGCCAGTTCGCTCCCACAGAGAGGGCCTCCTCAGGGTGCCGTCGGCTAGACAATGCCGGCTGGCGACCCCCAGGAGGAGAGTCTTCTCTGTGGTGGCACCTACCCTTTGGAACAATCTACCCCCAGAGATACGAGTGATCTCTGACCTCCGGACCTTTCGTCGGGCCCTAAAAACTCATCTCTTTCAGTTAGCCGGTCTCTCTTGATTTTATGATTTTATGGCTGGTTTTAAATTTTGATATGGATTTTAAATTGATAAATTTTAAACTATGGGCCAAATTTAATTATTTTAAATCTATTTTTAATCGTATTTATGTATAAATGTTTTTATTTTGGCTGTTCACCGCCCTGAGTCCGAAAGGAGAAGGGCGGTATAGAAATTCGAATAATAAATAAATAAATAAATAAATAAATAAATAAATAAATAAATAAATGTGGCTGCTCTTGAAGTGCATTTGCACATCGACCTCTACTCTGTGAGTTGTACTACTTGCAAGTGTATTTGTAGATACAATTCAAGGTGGTATATTTGTCATCTTTAAAGACCTACATAGCTTGGGACAGGATTATCTGAAGAATCTTTTTTTCCCCCAAGAGATTCCCATTCAATACAACAGATTAGGCATGCTGCAGATTCCATCAGCCACACAGTGTTGACAAATATGAGAAGATAGTTTCTGCTTTAGCAGTTGTCTTATGGAGTATATTAAAGATATGGTCAGCCTCTATGATACTTGCTTGCTATCTGCTGCCATAGTGACGGGGAGAGGGGAGGTTGGCTTTTGGGTGGGGGAATGTGAGCTGGAGAGAGATTGCCCTGTGTGAAGAAATAGGGAGGACTGCTCCTATGTTCTACTGTGGACTTGTTTATGCCCAGTCAAGGTCAACTATCTTGGAATACCAGATGGATGAAAACATCTGGAGATGCTGCCCACATGACACCAATTGGGATGGGGATTGGATATTTACCCTGGGTCTTTGGGGGAGGAATTTGGGGATACTTTCAATATGTAACTTTCGCACCTTTTGCTTCAGATCTTGCTTTTCTTTCGTTGCTATCAGTTCAAATTCAGTAAAAGTACCTTTCTCTACAAAAATGGAGTTGGGGTTTTCCTTTCTTGAGTTTTGAATGGAGGCACACCTGACAGATATACTCCATAATATACTGAGTATGTATACCATAGTATACACTCAGATATTAAATTGGATCCATGTTGGTTTTTTGCAAAGCTTTAAAAATATGAATATGTATCCTGGGACTAAGAAAGTGTTAAGAGATGCATTCCTTGGCTTTACTAGTAGTTGTTTAATCATCAGGGCTGCTATTTGTAATTATTTATTTTGCAGATGTTTTTATTATTTCAACTCTTTTAAAAATTGTTTAAATGTTTCAGAATGAATGAATGAATAAATATAAAAATGAGATGATCTATCAAATCACTTGTTTTCATTAAACTCCACTACTCTTCCCTTAACTACCACTAGTTTCAAACTCTTGGCTGCAGTGCTTTCATACTCTACCAAATGAAGTACCACATTCACACATTTTTTTTATGATGCTAACTTTCTAAGTGCTTCTATTTTTTTAATCCAATAAATTAAGCAAACAATAAAAATAAATTACACCTTGTTAACTTATTTTAAACCAAGGGAGAGTCACCAACTCAAAATCTATGTCTAGACTTTGTCCTTTTACTAGACATTAAAAGAGGATCCAAAAAGAAGATCCTTGAATAATAAAAAGAAAAAAGAAAGAAAATAATATTGTATTTCTGTTTATTAAATTTGCATTAAAATCTGATTTTATAGAATGGAAATAGAACAGCATAGGAAAAAAGGTTTATGTTTCAGACATAGAAAAACATGTTTCAGAAATTTTATGTCTTTCTTTCTTTCTTCATTCTTTATAAGACAATCTGAACTGAGTGCACAATTAGTGCTTACATATTGTATAATGTAAGAACTTGGCAATACACTGAGAAAAATATATCATCAGAGTTATTATGAATAAATAAATGCTGAGGCAATAAATTTTATAAATAAATAAAAATATTTTATTATTACTTTTATTAATTGCTCCCTGTTGTTTATCTTAGGTCTCAGCACAATTAGGAACATTTAACAGAAAAATATACATGCAAGTAAAGCATCGCTGGAGGTCCAGTTGGAAAAGATCTCCACAGCTACCATGAATTTTCCTTTTGTGCTCAGATATGTTGACGGAAAGTTGACCCACATCCTGCAAAAGATGAACATGCTAAAAGAATGTGGATTATCAGAAGCTGACAGATAATTTAGAGGCAACAAAATCAATCATGAAGCTGCCCAGGACCACAAGGCCTATATGCTGGCCCTTACCAACAAGAAATGGTAAAAAATGAAAATTGACCTCAGTTGCATTGTAGAAAATTGACCTTTGTTGTATTCTCTTCTTCAGTAACTGGGGGCACAACTAATTTAGATAATGGAGGAGAGATCACAGCCAGAAAAAAGAAATGTTGATATGGAATGGAGGATAGGAAGGAAAATTGAAAAGACCAATCTTTTATTTTCCTTTGCTAATTTACTTCTCCTGTAAGTGATAAAAATGTAGACCTAATTTAATTATTTCGTTTGATTAGTTGGTGTCTTCTATTAAATTCTGGCTTCAACACAATGATGAAGCATTTTGGGAAGAAAATGCATCCCAATAACCCAGCACTGGAGGACAAGATGGAGAAGATCTCCACAGCCACCATGGCTTTTCCTTTGGTGCTCAGATAGGTTGGAACAAAGGAGATCCACACACTGCAGAAGACCAACATGCTAAAAGTGATGAACTTGGCTTCATTAAAGGTGTCAGGTAAATTACGGGCAAGGAAAGCCACAATGAAGCTGGCAATAGCCAAGAAGCCCAGATAGCCCAGGACACAATAGAACATGAAGATGGAGCCTTCATTGCATTGCAAAATCATGGTTTCTGTAAGGGAATTCATGTCTAACTCAGGGAATGGAGGAGATGTTGTCAGCCACAGAATGCAAAGACCTGCTTGAAGAAAAGAACAAGAAAGGACAATGGAAAGAGCCAATCTTTTCCCCACCCATTTTCTCATTGAAGAATCTGGCTTAGTAGCCATGAAAGCGACAACCACGGTAATAGTTTTAGCTAACACACAAGAAACAGCTGCTGAGAAGATGGTGCCGAATGCTGGTTGACGGAGAAGGCAGATTATTTTCCCTGGTTGACTAAGGAATAACAAGGAAGAGAGAAAGCAGAGCAGAAGGGCGATGAGTAATGTGTAAGTGAGGTCTCGATTGTTGGCCTTGACGATGGGGGTATCTCTACGCTTAAGGAAAATTCCGAGCACACTGGTTGTCATGAGGGAGAAGAAAACAGCAGCTGAGCCCAGACTGATCCCTAAAGGTTCTTCAAAGGACAGGAAACTCATTGTTTTGTTAAGGCATCGATCTTGATCCTTGCTTGGATACTGATCTTCAGGACATTTGAAACCATCTTCTGTATCTGGATAAAGGAACAAAAGAAAACTCACCTATTTCCTACTTACCACTTTTTAATAAACATTTTATGTAATGTTTGAAGACTGATAATACATTTCATGATCTTTTTCCTGTGTAGCTATATTCCAAGGGTTATTCCAAAATATTTACCAACTATATCAAAAATCAATTATTTACTCAGGTGTGTTTTGTCACGTTGGATATGGAACTTTTCCATTCAATTTTAGAACAATTCAGTAGAGAATTTTCAATTTTCTCCCCCTTGATATTCATTAGATTTTTGTCTAATGCTTTGGATAACCATGTCAAGTTTCCGAAAGATGCCCTAATTAATTCATGAGCCATGATCCAAACTTCAAAGGAAATATAGTCATTTATTAAGAGCACCATTCCGGCAATACTGGGATGCAGTTAGGACTGATCCCACATAGATTTACGTACCCCTATGACCCTGTCTCTCCCCTCCTCCCTGGCCATGTCATAAATCACATTCTCCAATTACCCACTTTGGCTGGCTGTGAAACCTAACGCCCTCCTTCTGATTGCGGTCAGAAGAATGTATGGAATTCACTTCAGTTCTCCCTCCCTCCTGCTCATGGCAACTTGAAAGCTTTGCAAGTTGACAGACCATCATATATAGTATTGTTGGGCTACGATACAGTCTTGGTCTACATATGACATCTGTAGGACCTCCCAAAAATTAATCATGTTAGAAAACATCAATTTTAAGAAGAAATAAATTTCTTGTAACATTTGATGAAACAATTCCTTTACTGCCCAATGTTCTCAAATTGTTGCAGTTTCATAACTGACCTATCTTGCTTGAAATCTTCCCCGGTTGACATGGCACACAATCATAGCAGCAGAAGCTTTTCTCTTCAGATTTTCTCTTCCAAGATCCAGGGCGACAGTGTTCATTGCACAGAGAAACTGGAAGAACCTGCTCATAACATGAAAAAGTTTGCATAGGTAATTGCCAAATTATTCAGCTCCTTCATCAGTTGAAAATACAGTCAACTAGTCATCCTATAAAGAGAATCATGACTAGCAGAGATCAGTTGGAGACATTTTAACTGAAATCTGTTCCGTTATTTAAAGAAGTTGTAAAAAAAAATATACTCTACATTTGTGCAGTTCCATACCCGATTAAAACCTTTGTGCCATTCTATCAGCTTTTCATTAATGATCAATTCATTTCCATGAGATGCATCAGGATCTAGCTTTCCAACTTTCACACTCCGGATAGACTTGTTTGAAAAAACGATCACGTTGATGAGGTCAAATCCTCCTGCAGCTTCCCTCTTCTCATTAAAAGACACTCCTTCTCCTGCAGAGTTGTTGAAAGAAATGTCTTGAAGAAATGGGTGGAGCTACTTGAAAAAGAAGAAGAAAGCAATGAAGTTGAATTCACAATGATAAGAGAAATCAACACATTAGAAGTTCCATGTTTTGGTTCCCAAATTTGTTATTCACTTTCATTGGACAAAATGCCAATTCAAAACAAAGACTATAGATGGCAAAGAATTTCATAATCCCAGTTTTCCTCAACAGATCAAGAAGGCAACCTACAAAGTATTATCAGTGAATAACATATGCAGAATTCCTTGAGACAGAAAACAGAATACATCAGCAGCCAAATGGAACAGTTTACCCTCCAAGAGTTCAAAATATAGAAGAGAAAAAAGAGAAAGTTATCTTTAAAATGATGAAATATGAAATATGTTACATTAAAAGGTTGTAGTTCTGGAGATTTAGCCATTTCAGCTGCCTTTTTTTTTCTTAAATTGGATCCTTTGGATAGCATGCTATGCAAGGAATGAGCCACAGCATAAACCCCATTATAGATACTGTAGCTGTGACCTGTCACCTGCAATTGAAACAGAGATTCAGGAAGGTTTCCCAGGCCTTCCTCCCCAGTGCATGTATTTGTTTTAACATCTGTGAAATGTGTATAAAAATGAAACATGATATCGTTAAATTTACCCAAGTCATCCAAACACAATAATTTTGGAAATCTTTGTATGAAAGCTAAGCAGATTCCCTGCTGGAAAAACAAGGGTTCCAATTTCTGCAAAAAATGTTCTCCACTTTCGGTGTCTGCAGCAAAGAGCCCAATCCATTTCCATCCAAAACGCTGAAGCAATTGGATAATCCCTACATATTGAGGAACCTCATTTGGGGCCATAAAGTAAAGTGAAGATGATTGACAGCTATCAATTTCCTCCTGGGGAAATGATCCATATGTGAGCTAAAAGAAAACATCAAGACATGTTACATGGTTTTTGTTTTGGTCATGTATTTTTATGGATCTCTTCAGAAATTGGTTTGGCAGATTAGAATTGAGACCTGACCCACAATTTCTCAAATTTTGAGAATATGCTTAAATTCGTGGGCATTGATGTTTTTTTTCAACAAATGTGTTAAAATATCATTGGCATTCACCAAGAAGAGTCTAGGCCAACTCACCACAGCTAACTCCTCTCAGGAAAAGATTCTTATTAAAGAAAGGATGAAAAAGGAGGGACAAAATGAAATGTGAACGACAAAACTTAAAATATTTTTTAAATTATTGAAAATGGTTAAATTGAATTCTTGAATTGTCCTGTGGCGATTTGTCCTCCTGCGAGTTGGCCATGATGAGTTGTTGCATTCTGCACCAAGAAATCTTTTTAGAATAGAATAGAATAACCTAGAAAAAAAAAAAAAAAAGAGGTGACAACTAGTGTATGAAAATTTGGAGAAATATCGAGAAAATAATCAACGAACAAAAAATAATCCTGAAAGAAATGACGAGCATGTCATCAACAATTCTGAAAACAGGAAAAAAGACCCCTTCAAATCCCACTATATCCATGACCTCCCCGGCTACCAAAAGCCAATGGAAGGACTACCAAAAACGGATAAGGCCATAGCAACACCAACATTATTAACAGTGCAGTCAACATTGACATTAATTCAAGAAACGATGATGGCCATGCAGGAAAAAATGTCCAGCAATCACACCGAACTGAAAACAGATATCCACCTACTGGATCAGAAGATGAATGAGATCCAAGTCTCAATTTCTAACAATGAACAAAGAATCCAGAAGGCGGAGCAAAAAATAGAACTAAATGAGAAGAAGCTGGACATGGTAGACCAGACACTGACGATGCAAAATAAGGAATTAGAAGATTCGTTAATACAATTAGAGATGGACAGGGCGTCGTTTTACCTGCATTTTCAAAATGTGGAAGAAGATAAAGACGAGGATCTGGGAGAGAAGATGGCGGAACTAATCGCAGAAGTACTTCAACAAGATAAATGTGAGATCATCAGAGAATTGGACGACGTCTATAGAGTCCAAACAAACTACGCGAGGAGGAATAGGCTCCCCAGAGAAGTCCACATCAGGTTCGCGAGAAAGAAAGTAAAAGACAACCTATACAGTATGGCGAGAGACGGACAAATAACTTACAGAGGAAAAGAAGTGATAATATTAAAACAGATTCCAAGAAGAGTGAGGGAGGTGAGAAAGGATTACAGATTTTTGGCTGTGCAATTGAACAAAAGAAATATATTATTTAGATGGCTCTTACCGGAGGGGATGTTAATCACCTGGCAGGGGAGAAAAATAAAAATAGATAGCTTGAGCACAGCACAAGACTTCCTTGATCAGTTAAGGGTGCAGAAGAAGAACAGAACAGTAAGGAGGAAGTAGAGGTGACAAATTTAGAAGAGGAAGGAACCGCGGAGGAGAAAAAGACCGAAGAAGAAGCCAAGGAAAAAAAAATAATAAGACCAGTAAGAGCCGTAAGACTAAATAAGAACTAAGACCGAGCAAGGAAAACAAGAATGAATGACTTGAAATTAATTTCAGTAAACGTTAATGGATTAAACGATAGTAAAAAGAGGAAATTAACACTTACAAAATTAGCAAAACAAAATATGGATATAATCTGTTTACAGGAGGTCCACATAAAAAAGGATGAGGGTAAACGTTTGGAGTTTAAGAAATATGGTAAACTATTTACCTCATTAGCTGAAAAAAGGAAGAGAGGGGTAGTAATCTATGTTAAAAAAGGAATTGAAGCAGAATTGAAATATAATGATACAAAGGGAAGAACCCTCATGGTTGAAATTACGAGAGAAAACACTAAAATATTACTTGTGGGCATTTACGCCCCAAATAAAAAACAAGGAGAATATTTCCAAAAGCTTCGCGAACAAATAGGGAAAATGGAATACAATGAACTTTGTATGATAGGAGATTTCAACGGAATCATAGACCCAGACAATGACTACAAAAGTAATAAAATGAACAAAAATAAAAGGGCGACCTTACCAAAAGCTTTTTTCGATTTGGTGGAGGAAATGAGTTTAGTTGATATATGGCGAACCTTGCATCCAAGTGAAAGACAGTATACATTCTATTCTAATCCGCAAAAATCATGGTCGAGAATAGACATGGCTTGGGTCACCAGGTCGTTGGGATTAAAAATAGAGACAGCAGAAATTAGCCCAAATATTTGGGCTGACCACAACCCCCTAGAAATAAAATGGAGAATCACAAAGAGAAAGAAACAACAGAGATGGAGGCTCAACACAAATCTACTCGGCGACAAAGAGTGTGTAGAAAAATTGAAAGGAGAAATAAAGACCTTTTTTATGGAAAATGAGAATCAAGGGACACCCCGTGAAATAGTATGGGACACAATGAAGGCCTATCTAA